AATAACAACCATTGTATATGATGACATAAAATACACTGTGTATAATGACATAAAATACACTGTGTATGACGTAATATATATTGTGTATGACTTAACATTGTGTATAATGAGTTAAAATTGTGTATAATGACCTGATATGGTGTATTATGACCTACCATTGTGTATAATGACCTGATATGGTGTATTATGACCTAACATTGTGTATAATGACCTGATATGGTGTATTATGACTTAACATTGTGTATAATGACCTGATATGGTGTATTATGACCTAACATTGTGTATAATGACCTGATATGGTGTATTATGACCTAACATTGTGTATAATGACCTGATATGGTGTATTATGACTTAACATTGTGTATAATGACCTGATATGGTGTATTATGACCTAACATTGTGTATAATGACCTGATATGGTGTATTATGACCTAACATTGTGTATAATGACCTGATATGGTGTATTATGACCTAACATTGTGTATAATGAAATAATATTCAGTACATTGTTTATAATGCAATAAATAAATATTTGTCCTGGCCTTTTTCTGCGCGTGCATTTGTCTACGGGCGGTGATGGGCGGTGATGGGCGGTGATGGGCGGTGGAATGGTGGAGTGGGTGGTGGGATGGTGGAGTGGGTGTGGGTGGTGGAGTGGTTGGTGGGATGGTGGAGTGGGTGGTGGGATGGTGGAGTGGTTGGTGGGATGGTGGAGTGGGTGGTGGGATGGTGGAGTGGTTGGTGGGATGGTGGAGTGGGTGGTGGGATGGTGGAGTGGGTGGTGGGATGGTGGAGTGGGTGGTGGGATGGTGGAGTGGGTGGTGGGATGGTGGAGTGGGTGGTGGGATGGTGGAGTGGTGTGGGATGGTGGGAGTGGGTGGTGGGATGGTGGGTGGGTTGGAGTGGGATGGTGGAGTGGGTGGTGGGATGGTGGAGTGGGTGGTGGGATGGTGGAGTGGGTGGTGGGATGGTGGAGTGGGTGGTGGGATGGTGGAGTGAGTGGTGGGATGGTGGAGTGGTTGGTGGGATGGTGGAGTGGGTGGTGGGATGGTGGAGTTGGTTGGTGGGATGGTGGAGTGGGTGGTGGGATGGTGGAGTGGTGGTGGGATGGTGGAGTGGGTGGTGGAATGGTGGAGTGGTTGGTGGGATGGTGGAGTGGGTGGTGGGATGGTGGAGTGGTTGGTGGGATGGTGGAGTGGGTGGTGGGATGGTGGAGTGGGTGGTGGGATGGTGGAGTGGGTGGTGGAATGGTGGAGTGGTTGGTGGGATGGTGGAGTGGGTGGTGGGATGGTGGAGGGGGTGGTGGGATGGTGGAGTGGGTGGTGGGATGGTGGAGTGGGTGGTGGGATGGTGGAGTGGGTGGTGGGATGGTGGAGTGGGTGGTGGGATGGTGCAGTGGGTGGTGGGATGGTGGAGTGAGTGGTGGGATGGTGGAGTGGTTGGTGGGATGGTGGAGTGGGTGGTGGGATGGTGGAGTGGTTGGTGGGATGGTGGAGTGGGTGGTGGGATGGTGGAGTGGGTGGTGGGATGGTGGAGTGGGTGGTGGAATGGTGGAGTGGTTGGTGGGATGGTGGAGTGGGTGGTGGGATGGTGGAGTGGTTGGTGGGATGGTGGAGTGGGTGGTGGAATGGTGGAGTGGTTGGTGGGATGGTGGAGTGGGTGGTGGGATGGTGGAGGTTGGTGGGTGGTGGTGGGGATGGTGGAGTGTGGTGGTGGTGGGATGGGGTGGGAGTGGGTGGGGTGGGATGGTGGAGTGGGTGGTGGGATGGTGGAGTGGGTGGTGGGATGGTGGAGTGGGTGGTGGGATGGTGGAGCGGGTGGTGGGATGGTGGAGTGGGTGGTGGGATGGTGGAGTGGGTGGTGGGATGGTGGAGTGGGTGGTGGGATGGTGGAGTGGGCGGTGGGATGGTGGAGTGGGCGGTGGGATGGTCGGGTGGGTGGTGGGATGGTGGAGTGGGCGGTGGGATGGTGGAGTGGGCGGTGGGATGGTGGAGTGGGCGGTGGGATGGTCGGGTGGGTGGTGGGATGGTCGAGTGGGCGGTGGGATGGTCCGGAGGGTGTTGTCAGGGTCAAGAAAGACACAGGCAAGGAGCTAGGGACGGGAGGAGGTAAAATTTGGGGGAGGGGGTATGTGAGAAGGGGCATGGGAGGGACGGGATAGATGGATGGAGGGAGGGAGTGGAGACGAAGGATGTCTGTGGTGTTTGGAAAGCTGAGTGTAGTGAGAGGAAGTAATATGCATTTTTTTACAGTCGTAGGAATTTGACTCTCTCTCTCTCTCTCTCTCTCTCTCTCTCTCTCTCTCTCTCTCTCTCTCTCTCTCTCTCTCTCTCTCTCTCTCTCTCTCTCTCTCTCTCTCTCTCTCTCTCTCTCTCTTCTCCTGGATCTGATATTATCTTTCTTGATGAGTAAGTTTATGAGTTTGTAGGGTGTACGTAGGCACAGAGAGTCTGGCTCGTGACATGTGTGAGGCTGGAGCCAGATGTGAGGGACTATGTAAACATTAACCTCGTACATAATAGTCATTAATATGTGTACAGTGTTGTAGGCTGTGCTGAAACGACAGCTGCAAGCAGAACGGGTCGAGGCTTCAGAAACGTTGCCCTGCGTGTTTTTCGACCGTATTCATGTTTGGAATGGAATGGAGAGGAAGGTGTCCAGGGGAGTGGTGCATACTTATTGAGAGCTAACTTGTATCTCTTAGAGAGAGAGAGAGAGAGAGAGAGAGAGAGAGAGAGAGAGAGAGAGAGAGAGAGAGAGAGAGAGAGAGAGAGAGAGAGAGAGAGACAGACAGACAGACAGAAGCAGGCAGGCAGGGAATGTAGCTGGCAGGCCTGAATCACATGGAGGCTCTTGAATAATCTTGGGCCTCTTACGCTTATTGTGTTGCTCTCAGTGTATAGAGTTTTGCAGCCATTGCTGTTGATGTTATTGGCGTCTTCGATCACAAAGTTCATCAACCGTGTGTTTATAGTGAAGAGTGAGGTATCAACCAACAGGGAGTCAGGTGTTTATAATGAAGGTATCAACTAACAGGGAGTCAGGTGTTTATAATGAAGGTATCAACCAACAGGATGTCAAAATGTTGAAAGTGAAGATGTCAAGCAACAGGATGATAAGTTCCATCGTTGAGGTGTCAAGTATCATTCTCCCTCTATCACCATCATTAAAGTTATGCTCTTGTGCATCATTCATTCTCAGATCAACACTAGTGTTATCACCAGTTATTATCACAGTTGCAAGGAGAATCATATGCTGGATAAGTAGAACCTTCAAAACAAGAGAAGCCGAGCCGATGATAATACTCTTCAAGTCACTTTTTTTTTTTTGTCTTGGCTGTAATATTGCTGCACACTAACAGCCGCTTTGAATGCATGTGAAGTTGCTCAACTGAATAATATACAGAGAACCTTCATTGCCTAATAAACTCAGTCAAGCATTTAAATTAGGAACGCTTGAAGTCAATCGAACTGTATTCCTTGGATCGCAGGCGAGAAAGGTGTATCACAATTTACACCCGGATAATTCTGCTGGTCTTGGTCCCAAATCTACACACTTGATATTACTACACAAAAAGCAAAACGCTTGGCAGACGGTGCAAGATACCTCCAGTGAAACGCAGAGGTGAAAACAGTGACACAAATACAGTATTGTTGATGAGGTTTCGCCCACCCAGTGGGTTTTTGTGCATTTGTGTGTTTTTCTATAATATTAGTATTTTATAACATTTCTCTCTGAGCAGCAGGGAGTGCCGCCAGTACACTGTGAGACAAGTGCACGAGGGTGAAGTAGTGTGGTGACCCTTCCTCGAGGCTGCTTGCAACCACTAGTACACGTCTAGCAATTGGAATAATATTTAGAGAGAAGTAAATGTTGAAACAATGTTATGGGAATGCAGTTAGAAGCCTGAGTAGATCTGTCACTCACTATGATAACATGAACATAGATAAGTACGTTTATGGAACACTTTGTGATGTGAACACTGATTAATATTATAGTAGCCAGGCTTAGGCTTGGTTACAATTACTTCTGGCAGTGTGGGGGACACACAGATGAAGATCAAACTAAATGCAAAGTATGTGGCCAGCCATATGGTCAATATATTGAACACTGTGCTTTATTGTCCACTTATTGAGGAATATATAGACAGTATAATAACCTATGTGATAAGATACCAGACATATTCAGTAAATATCCTAAATTTGTTTGCAACAGATAAGTCAGCTGTAGATATAGATCCAGATGTACTCCTGTTAATCCCTTTGGGGCCTTGCTCCTAGGCCGTTTGTGTATCCATATGCGCTATCCTCCACAAGATGGATATGTGGTGCACAATACACTAGCCACTAAACTCCACAAGATGGATATGTGGTGCACACTACACTAGCCACTGTCTTCCATAGGATGGATATAAGGTGCGCAATAAACTAGCCACTACCGTCCACAGGCTTTATATATGCCTTCCCTCAGATACCTTCCCCTCAGATACCTTCCCTCAGATACCTTCCCCTCAGGAACCTTCTCAGATACCGTCCCCTCAGATACCTTCCCCTCAGGTACCTTCTCAGATACCTTCCCCTTGGTGTTGAAGCAAGTGTAGTGTTGTATGTATTGTGGTGTTGCATGTAGTGATGTGTTGCATGTAGCGATGTGTTGCATGTAGTGTGGTGTTGCAGCAGGCACTAAGTATGTGGACAATGTTGGCTGGGAGATGTAAGACTGGCTGCACCATGCTGGGATATTTTCACCGTTGATGTCACTCTTGGTGGTCACCCCTTGGCTACCCCGTGGCCGCCTGTCGTGCTTCCCCTATGACCTTCTGCTCCCCCGCGCGTGGGTGGAGGCAGTGGTGACCTGCGGTGGGAGTTCTGAGAAGGAGTAAGCGTGGGCAGGTGTGGGAGTGGGGGTATGGGGTGGGGGAGTGGTGGGGCAGTGCTGCGGTGCCCTGGTGGTCGTCGCAGCCGCAAGCTGCCGCCGAGGTGTGGCGTACCCGGGCCAGTCTCAGTAGCACCCGCGCCGCCGTCGCATTACCAGTGCAGTCTCGCGTCTCTCGCCCGCCCTCACACCCACCCACCTGAGAGCCTCCAACACACACCCAGGCTCACATACACACCTTCTGCCACTTGTTGGGGTCGCAGCCCCCTGTTGACGGAAGTGTCAGCACAGTGCCACCCCTGCCAAAAGTTTGACAAGTGTTTTCTAGTGACAGTTTTTAGCGAGGATTACTACATTCATTCATGTAAGGATGCAGACGGTGCTAGGAGAGCTACTGGAGTCTCCTTACAAGTAAACATCATGCCATGTGCACATCTTCCACACTGTCGCATAATAAATATCAAGGCTTAAGATGGTGTTTGGATGGTTAACCAAGTATTTTCATTATTAGTGTTGTTTGGAAAGTACGAGCCTAGTGCTCTAATTTATACATTAAGTGAAATGTTGGTGTATTCTAGTGCAAAGTGTGTGTTAGTGCAGCATGGGTAATAGTGAAGGAAAGGCTACCCAAGGAAGAAGGCATGTAAAGCCACCATACAGTACTGCACGACCACTGCCACCACTACCCAGTGACGACGAGGAGGAGGCAGACGATTTAAACCTTGACACACCGCCCCCATATCCACCTCCACCGCCCCCAGGACAGGAATACAAGCGGTACTCCTGGCGGCTCAGGGACTCCGCCGTCTTTGGTCAAGGCGACAGCAAGAGGCGCTCGTGGCTACTAAATTTTTCCAACGACAGCGACAACGACAAGAAAACAAAGGGTAAACTGACAAAAGACGGTAAGGATGTCAATGATGTTCACATAAACACAGGTGCAGGTAGCAGGGAGATAGTGAGTGTTCCCGGTGTGAGAATCGCGACTCACGAGCCTCAGTTAGACATGCAGAGTGAAGGCTCATGGAACCTTCAGAGTAAAGTAGAAACAGATAAGAATATGAGTGGCAAGACTCAGTTGTACACATACCACATAACAGGTAAAGACTCCAGTATGGATTCAGAGGGAAGAGAACCGGGTCATCCGACCTGGCAGATAAGAGACGGCAAACTCATCAGTGTCACCAAGGACATTGTCAGAGGAGAGGACAATGATGCCCCCGGATACAGTCTTCTCCACGAATGCGTCCAACACGACCAGAGGACTGGCATACCGTCCCTGGATATTAGTACCAAAGCGAACATGAATGAGGAATTGAAAAATGTCATTGATGAATTACGAGGAAAACCCCACGTAGACAGCAAAACCACCATCAAAACTGTTTCAGACGGTAAGGGTGGGTTTGTCACAGTTACAACCACTGAAAAGACTCTTTCCTCTCAAGTCAGCATTAATGGGAGAGACATTAGATCAACTCCAAATGATTCGTTGAGTAAACTTGAAGCAGAACTAACTGCTCTGCTCTCCCCCGAGTTAGATACTCATACTTCTCTAGCCAGTGAAAATGGGATGGGATCAGGGATACACAGTAATGGGGACATGGTAGGTAGTAGTCAGAGTTACAGTTCACATGTACAGCAAGGTTACAGCATATCTATGACACCAAATCTTCCTTTGCCTGACATACAAGAATTCTCAAGAAAAGGTGTTCCACTGCTTCCAGATCTTGTTAAGGGAGATGGAAGGACAGGTTTTGAAGTTAAGAGTTCACCAGGAAGCGCTAGCATGGCCTTTAATAATGAGATAAATCTGAACACCTCTGGGCATAGAGCCGATCTCAGGTTTGATGGGTGGGGTCCAGACCGGGCTCTTGGGTTTGATAATACAACCCAACCTCTTTACCCAAAGTGCGGGGATAATTTAGATTTGAGAGCTGATGCACCAAACATAAAAGGTGATGTTAGAGGAGATTACTCAGTAACTGGAGAGAGCTCAGGCTCCCAGGTTATAGGTTCAGTAAAGAGTGACAGGTTGAGAATTGGTGCCCCAGAGGTTGATGTGAGTATACCATGTAGCCTTCCAAGTGGTGAGATGCAGGGTACAGTTAAAATGCCTTCTGCTGAAGTGTCAGCAGTTGAGGGAGAAAGCCCTGCTGTTGATGCCAGTATTAGCGTCACTTCACCTAAAATAAAGGTGAAAGGAGAAAAGCCCAAGGTAAAACTTGGTTCATGCTTTGGAAAACCTAAAAGCCCTGAAACGGAAGATGAATATAAACAAAGCCAATTTGATACTGAAGGATCTAAAGCAAGTGTTAGTGCGAGTGTCCAACCACCCGTGGCTAAGGCTGAGGCAAGTCTTCATGCTCCTGATGTAAAACTAAAAGAAGGAAAACCAAAGAGCAAATTTGGATCTTGCTTTGGTAAACCAGAAAGTGCTAAAGTTAAAGGTGAATACGAACCAGGCACAATAGACCTGGAAGGGCCAGAAACTGGTGATAGTGCCACTATAAAACCACCTTCAGCACAGGCTGACATTGACTTGAGCTCCAGTGAGCTAAGGGTAAGATCGAATATCCCAGATTTTGATATCGAAGTAGATTCTCGTAAAGTGAAAGGAAAAGCTGAGAAACCAAAGCCTAAACTAGGTTCGTGTTTCGGCAAACCCAAAACACCTAAAATTGAAGGTGAGTATACACCAGGTAAGGCTGAAATTGAAGGACCAGAAGTGGGAGGAAGTGCAAGTATGGAGCCTCTTCAGATGGAAGGTAATATAGAGGTTGATGCACCTGAGATTAAAGTAAAATCAGGTAAACCAAGTGCTGCCATAGACGTTGATTCCCCTGAGGTGAAGGTGAAAGCAGGAAAACCAAAAGCTAACTTAGGATCATGTTTTGGTAAACCAAAGACTCCCCAAGTTGAGGGTGAATACAAGCCAGGTAAGGTTGAACCGGAAGGTCCAGAAGCCAGTGTTGGTGCTAGTCTTAGTTCTCCTGAAGCTAAGGCTGATATTAGCATTGATACTCCAGATGTAAAAGTGGAAGGAGGTAAGCCAAAAGCCAAACTGGGGTCTTGTTTCGGTAAACCCAAGAGTCCCAAAGTTGAGGGAGAGTACAAGCCTGGCAAACTTGAACTTGAAGGTTCTGAAATCAGTGCTGGAGCAAGTGTCAAAACACCTGAAGCTAAGGCTGATATTGATGTTGACTCACCAGATATGAAAGTGAAAGGTGGAAAAGGAACTGGAAAGCCCAAGGGAAAATTAGGATCATGCTTCAGCAAACCCAAGGGACCTGAAATTGAAGCTTCCTACCAACCTGGAAAGCTGAAATTTGAAGGTCCTGAAGTACCAAAAGTGAAAGCTGAAGTTCCTTCCATAGGAGGTCCAGTGGAAGTGGAATCACCTAAGCTTAATCTTCATCCCTCTCTAGACATAGATTTACCAAAGCTTCCCGAGGTACATGGAGGAATTGGACTAGATATTGATGTACCGAAGATTGAACCATCACTCAGGATTGAAGGTGATATTCCAGATGTACCCAAAGTTGAAACCGAATTCAGAGTCAAAGGAAGCACAGTTCCTCCTGTAAAACCAGTTGAAATTAATGTTGATATGCCGGAATTTACACCAACATTACTAATGAAAGGTGATATTCCCGATTTACCCAAAGTAGAAGCAGAACTTGGAGGCAAAGCTGGTTTTCCAGACATGGAAATTAAAGGCAAAATTCTTGAACCTCCGAGAATTAAGGGTGATTTAAGTATTGATGGAGAAGCACAAATAAGTCAGGAAGGGTATATTCCAAAATTACCAACCGAAAAAGCAAGGTTAGACATAAGTGGATCTATACCAACTGTTTCTGGAAAAGTAAAAGGAATGGACATTACATTGCCAGATATTTCAAGTCCAAAATTTGAATCGGAAATTACAGGTGACTTACCATCAGTTGAACTCCCAAAAGCTGAGATTTCCCTTCCTTCAGGTCCCACATTACCAGCTGCTGAGATTAAGGGAAAAGTAGAGGCACCAGAGTTATCTGGAAGTATAATGGTGCCACAACCTGAGCTTAAAGCCAAGAAAGCCAAACTTGGTCCATGTGCCTGTCTTGGTAAACCAGGTAAAGTTAAAATGGAAGAACCATACATGTCTGCCGAAGTAGGAGGGAAAGCAAAGGGAGAATTAAAAGACATAGATGCTGAACTGGAAATTAAAAATGAAGGATTAAAGTTGGAAGGTCCAGAAGCACACGCCTCTGCTAGTGTGGAAGCTCCAGAGTTAAAGAAAGGCAAAGTTAAAGTGTCTGGAAAACCCAAAGCATCTCTAGGGTCCTGTTTTGGTAAACCAAAGACACCATCTGTAAGTGGAGAATATAGAGCTGATGCTGGTGTAGAAGGATCTGTATCTGTTGATCCTCATGTTAAAGTTGAGGGTAAAGGTGTTGCTGGTCCCAGTGTTAGTGTTGCAGTACCTGAAGGAAAGGCTAAAGTTGATATTGATTCTCCTGATGTGAAAGTGAAAGCAGGGAAGCCCAAAGCTAAAATTGGATCTTGTTTTGGAAAACCTAAAAGTCCAGAAATTGAAGGAGAATATAAACCAGGTAAACTTGAGGGTCCAGAAGCAAGTGTTGAAGCCAGTATTAAATCACCAGAAGTAAAGGGTGACATCAGTGTTGAGTCTCCAGACATTAAAGTAAAAGGAGAAAAGCCAAAAGCTAAACTGGGATCCTGTTTTGGAAAACCAAAGAGTCCCAAAGTTGAAGGTGAATATAAACCAGGGAAAGTTGACATTGAAGGTCCAGAACTTGAAGGAAGTGCTAGTATAGAACCTCTTGAAGTGAGAGGTGATATAGATGTTGATGCACCTGAGATTAAAGTAAAATCAGGTAAACCAAGTGCTGCCATAGACATTGATTCCCCTGATGTGAAGGTGAAGGCAGGAAAACCAAAAGCTAAATTAGGATCATGTTTCGGTAAACCAAAGACTCCCCAAGTTGAAGGAGAATATAAGCCAGTTAAAGTTGAAGTGGAAGGTCCAGAAGCCAGTGTTGGTGGTAGTCTTACCTCTCCTGAAGCTAAAGCTGATATTAGCATTGATACTCCAGATGTGAAAGTTAAAGGAGGTAAACCGAAAGCTAAACTTGGATCATGTTTTGGTAAACCCAAGAGTCCCAAAGTTGAGGGAGAGTACAAACCTGGGAAACTTGAACTTGAAGGTCCTGAAATCAGTGCTGGAGCAAGTGTCAAAACACCTGAAGCTAAGGCTGATATTGATATTGACTCTCCAGATGTCAAAGTGAAAGGTGGAAAAGGAATTGGAAAACCAAAAGCAAGCCTAGGATCATGCTTTGGCAAACCAAAAGGACCAAAACTTGAAGCTGCCTACCAACCTGGGGAACTGAAGTTTGAAGGTCCTGAAGTAACAAAAGTGAAAGCTGAAGTTCCTTCAATAGAAGGAAAAGTGGAAGTGAAACCACCAAAACTTGATATTAGTCCCTCATTAGATGTGGAACTTCCAAAACTTCCCGAAGGAAAGGGAGGAATTAGATTAGATATTGATGCTCTAAAACTTGAGCCATCACTCAAAATTGAAGGTGATATTCCAGATTTGCCCAGAGTTGAAGCTGAACTGGGAGGCAAAGCTAATATTCCGGACATAGATATCAAACGTAAAATTCCTGAAGGTCAAGGAATTAATGCTGAAGTGAATGTCGATGGTGCATTACCTGAAATAAGCCTAGAAGGAGATATTCCAGAATTCCCAAAGGCAAAGGCCAGTTTGGACTTAAGTGGACATATTCCCAGTGTCTCTGGAGATGTGAAAGGAATAAATATTTCATTGCCGGATATTCCAAGTCCAAAAGTTGAAGCAGAAATTGCAGGTGACTTACCATCAGTTGAACTCCCGAAAGCTGAGATTTCCCTTCCTTCAGGTCCCACATTACCAGCTGCTGAGATTAAGGGAGAAGTAGAGGCACCAGAGTTATCTGGAAGTTTAAAGGTGCCACAACCTGAGCTTAAAGCCAAGAAAGCCAAACTTGGTCCATGTGCCTGTCTGGGTAAATCAGGTAAAGTTAAAATGGAAGAACCATACATGTCTGCCGAAGTAGGAGGGAAAGCTAAGGGACAATTAAAAGACATAGATGCTGAACTGGAAATTAAAAATGAAGGATTAAAGTTGGAAGGTCCAGAAGCACACGCCTCTGCTAGTGTGGAAGCTCCAGAGTTAAAGAAAGGCAAAGTTAAAGTGTCTGGAAAACCCAAAGCATCTCTAGGGTCCTGTTTTGGTAAACCAAAGACACCATCTGTAAGCGGAGAATATAGAGCTGATGCTGGTGTAGAAGGTTCTGTGTCTGTTGATCCTCATATCAAAGTTGAGGGTAAAGGTGTTGCTGGTCCCGGTGTTAGTGTTGCAGTGCCTGAAGGAAAGGCTAAAGTTGATATTGATTCTCCTGATGTGAAAGTGAAAGCAGGGAAGCCCAAAGCTAAAATTGGATCTTGTTTTGGAAAACCCAAAGGTCCAGAAATTGAAGGAGAATATAAACCAGGTAAACTTGAGGGTCCAGAAGCAAGTGTTGAAGCCAGTATTAAATCACCAGAAGTAAAGGGTGACATCAGTGTTGAGTCTCCAGACATTAAAGTGAAAGGAGGAGAACCAAAAGCTAAACTGGGATCCTGTTTTGGAAAAGCAAAAAGTCCCAAAGTTGAAGGTGAATATAAACCAGGGAAAGTTGACATTGAAGGTCCAGAACTTGAAGGAAGTGCTAGTATAGAACCTCTTGAAGTGAGAGGTGATATAGATGTTGATGCACCTGAGATTAAAGTAAAATCAGGTAAACCAAGTGCTGCCATAGACATTGATTCCCCTGATGTGAAGGTGAAGGCAGGAAAACCAAAAGCTAAGTTAGGATCATGTTTCGGTAAACCAAAGACTCCCAAAGTTGAGGGTGAATACAAGCCAGGTAAGGTTGAAGTGGAAGGTCCAGAAGCCAGTGTTGGTGGTAGTCTTAGCTCTCCTGAAGCTAAGGCTGATATTAGCATTGATACTCCAGATGTGAAAGTTAAAGGAGGTAAACCAAAAGCTAAACTTGGATCATGTTTTGGTAAACCCAAGAGTCCCAAAGTTGAGGGAGAGTACAAACCTGGCAAACTTGAGCTTGAAGGTCCTGAAATCAGTGCTGGAGCAAGTGTCAAAACACCTGAAGCTAAGGCTGATATTGATATAGACTCTCCAGATGTCAAAGTGAAAGGTGGAAAAGGAATTGGAAAACCAAAAGCAAGCCTAGGATCATGCTTTGGCAAACCCAAAGGACCAAAATTTGAAGCTGCCTACCAACCTGGGGAACTGAAGTTTGAAGGTCCTGAAGTACCAAAAGTAAAAGCTGAAGTTCCTTCAATAGAAGGAAAAGTGGAAGTGGAACCACCAAAACTTGACATCAGTCCATCAGTAGACGTGGAACTTCCAGAACTTCCTGAAGTAAAGGGAGGAATTGGATTAGATATTGATGTTCCAAAACTTGAGCCATCACTCAGGATTGAAGGTGATATTCCAGATTTACCCAAAGTTGAAGCTGAGCTGGGAGGCAAAGCTAATATTCCAGATATAGATATAAAAGGTAAAATTCCTAAAACTCGAGGAATTAATGCAGAAGTGAATGTCGATGGTGCATTACCTGAAATACGCCTTGAAGGAGATATTCCAGAATTCCCAAAGGCAAAAGCCAGTTTGGACTTAAGTGGACATATTCCCAGTGTCTCTGGAGATGTGAAAAAAATAAATATAACATTGCCAGATATTCCAAGTCCAAAAGTTGAAGCAGAAATTGCAGGTGACTTACCATCAGTTGAACTCCCGAAAGCTGAGATTTCCCTTCCTTCAGGCCCCACATTACCAGCTGCTGAGATTAAGGGAGAAGTAGAGGCACCAGAGTTATCTGGAAGTTTAAAGGTGCCACAACCTGAGCTTAAAGCCAAGAAAGCCAAACTTGGTCCATGTGCCTGTCTGGGTAAATCAGGTAAAGTTAAAATGGAAGAACCATACATGTCTGCCGAAGTAGGAGGGAAAGCAAAGGGAGAATTAAAAGACATAGATGCAGAGCTGGAAATTAAAAATGAAGGATTAAAGTTGGAAGGTCCAGAAGCACACGCCTCTGCTAGTGTAGAAGCTCCAGAGTTAAAGAAAGGCAAAGTTAAAGTGTCTGGAAAACCCAAAGCATCTCTAGGGTCCTGTTTTGGTAAACCAAAGACACCATCTGTAAGCGGAGAATATAGAGCTGATGCTGGTGTAGGAGGATCTGTATCAGTTGATCCTCATGTTAAAGTTGAGGGTAAAGGTGTTGCTGGTCCCAGTGTTAGTGTTGCAGTACCTGAAGGAAAGGCTAAAGTTGATATTGATTCTCCTGATGTGAAAGTGAAAGCAGGGAAGCCCAAAGCTAAAATTGGATCTTGTTTTGGAAAACCCAAAAGTCCAGAAATTGAAGGAGAATATAAACCAGGTAAACTTGAGGGTCCAGAAGCAAGTGTTGAAGCCAGTATTAAATCACCAGAAGTAAAGGGTGACATCAGTGTTGAGTCTCCAGACATTAAAGTGAAAGGAGGAAAGCCAAAAGCTAAACTGGGATCCTGTTTTGGAAAACCAAAGAGTCCCAAAGTTGAAGGTGAATATAAACCAGGGAAAGTTGACATTGAAGGTCCAGAACTTGAAGGAAGTGCTAGTATAGAACCTCTTGAAGTGAGAGGTGATATAGATGTTGATGCACCTGAGATTAAAGTAAAATCAGGTAAACCAAGTGCTGCCATAGACATTGATTCCCCTGATGTGAAGGTGAAGGCAGGAAAACCAAAAGCTAAATTAGGATCATGTTTCGGTAAACCAAAGACTCCCCAAGTTGAGGGTGAATACAAGCCAGGTAAGGTTGAAGTGGAAGGTCCAGAAGCCAGTGTTGGTGGTAGTCTTAGCTCTCCTGAAGCTAAAGCTGATATTAGCATTGATACTCCAGATGTGAAAGTTAAAGGAGGTAAACCAACAGCTAAATTTGGATCTTGTTTCGGTAAGCCAAAAAGTCCCAAAATTGAAGGTGAATATAAACCAGGAAAAGTTGAGATTGAAGGACCGGAACTGGGAGGAAGTGCCAGTATAGAACCTCTTGAAGCCCGAGCTGATATTGGTGTAGACGTACCTGAACTTAAAGTAAGTGCAGGTGCACCAATTGCAGAAGTCAGTGGAGATTCTCCAGAGGTGAAGGTGAAAGCAGGAAAACCAAAAGCTAAATTAGGATCATGTTTCGGTAAACCGAAGACTCCCAAAGTTGAAGGTGAATACAAACCAGGTAAGGTTGAAGTGGAAGGTCCAGAAGCCAGTGTTGGTGGTAGTCTTAGCTCTCCTGAAGCTAAGGCTGATATTATCATTGATACTCCAGATGTGAAAGTTAAAGGAGGTAAACCAAAAGCTAAACTTGGATCATGTTTTGGTAAACCCAAGAGTCCCAAAGTTGAGGGAGAGCACAAACCTGGGAAAATTGAACTTGAAGGTCCTGAAATCAGTGCTGGAGCAAGTGTCAAAACACCTGAAGCTAAGGCTGATATTGATGTTGACTCACCAGATGTCAAAGTGAAAGGTGGAAAAGGAATTGGAAAGCCAAAAATAAAGTTTGGATCTTGTTTTGGCAAACCCAAGGGACCTAAAATTGAAGCTGCCTACCAGCCTGGAGAACTGAAGTTTGAGGGTCCTGAAGTACCAAAAGTGAAAGCTGAAGTTCCTTCAATAGAAGGAAAAGTGGAAGTGAAACCACCAAAACTTGACATCAGTCCAGTAGACGTGGAACTTCCAGAACTTCCTGAAGTAAAGGGAGGAATTGGATTAGATATTGATGTTCCAAAACTTGAGCCATCACTCAAGATTGAAGGTGATATTCCAGATTTACCCAAAGTTGAAGCTGAACTGGGAGGCAAAGCTAATATTCCAGATATAGATATAAAAGGTCAAATTCCTAATGCTCAAGGAATTAATGCTGAAGTGAATGTCGATGGTGCATTACCTGAAATAAGCCTTGAAAGAGATGTTCCAGAATTACCAAAGGCAAAAGCCAGTTTGGACTTAAGTGGACATATTCCCAGTGTCTCTGGAGATGTGAAAGGAATAAATATAACATTGCCAGATATTCCAAGTCCAAAAGTTGAAGCAGAAATTGCAGGTGACTTACCATCAGTTGAACTCCCGAAAGCTGAGATTTCCCTTCCTTCAGGCCCCACATTACCAGCTGCTGAAATTAAGGGAGAAGTAGAGGCACCGGAGTTATCTGGAAGTATAAAGGTGCCACAACCTGAGCTTAAAACCAAGAAAGCCAAACTTGGTCCATGTGCCTGTCTGGGTAAATCAGGTAAAGTTAAAATGGAAGAACCATACATGTCTGCCGAAGTAGGAGGGAAAGCAAAGGGAGAATTAAAAGACATAGATGCAGAGCTGGAAATTAAAAATGAAGGATTAAAGTTGGAAGGTCCAGAAGCACACGCCTCTGCTAGTGTGGAAGCTCCAGAGTTAAAGAAAGGCAAAGTTAAAGTGTCTGGAAAACCCAAAGCATCTCTAGGGTCCTGTTTTGGTAAACCAAAGACACCATCTGTAAGCGGAGAATATAGAGCTGATGCTGGTGTAGAAGGATCTGTATCTGTTGATCCTCATGTTAAAGTTGAGGGTAAAGGTGTTGCTGGTCCCAGTGTTAGTGTTGCAGTGCCTGAAGGAAAGGCTAAAGTTGATATTGATTCTCCTGATGTGAAAGTGAAAGCAGGGAAGCCCAAAGCAAAAATTGGATCTTGTTTTGGAAAACCTAAAAGTCCGGAAATTGAAGGAGAATATAAACCAGGTAAACTTGAGGGTCCAGAAGCAAGTGTTGAAGCCAATATTAAATCACCAGAAGTAAAGGGTGACATCAGTGTTGAGTCTCCAGATATTAAAGTGAAAGGAGGAAAGCCTAAAGCTAAACTGGGATCCTGTTTTGGAAAACCAAAGAGTCCCAAAGTTGAAGGTGAATATAAACCAGGGAAAGTTGACATTGAAGGTCCAGAACTTGAAGGAAGTGCTAGTATAGAACCTCTTGAAGTGAGAGGTGATATAGATGTTGATGCACCTGAGATTAAAGTAAAAGCAGGTAAACCAAGTGTTGCCATAGACATTGATTCCCCTGAGGTGAAGGTGAAGGCAGGAAAACCAAAAGCTAAATTAGGATCATGTTTCGGTAAACCAAAGACTCCCCAAGTTGAGGGTGAATACAAGCCAGGTAAGGTTGAAGTGGAAGGTCCAGAAGCCAGTGTTGGTGGTAGTCTTAGCTCTCCTGAAGCTAAAGCTGATATTAGCATTGATACTCCAGATGTGAAAGTTAAAGGAGGTAAACCAACAGCTAAATTTGGATCTTGTTTCGGTAAGCCAAAAAGTCCCAAAATTGAAGGTGAATATAAACCAGGAAAAGTTGAGATTGAAGGACCGGAACTGGGAGGAAGTGCCAGTATAGAACCTCTTGAAGCCCGAGCTGATATTGGTGTAGACGTACCTGAACTTAAAGTAAGTGCAGGTGCACCAAGTGCAGATGTCAGTGTAGATTCTCCTAAGGTGAAGGTGAAAGCAGGAAAACCAAAAGCTAAATTAGGATCATGTTTCGGTAAACCAAAGACTCCCAAAGTTGAAGGTGAATACAAACCAGGTAAGCTTGAACTGGAAGGTCCAGAAGCCAGTGTTGGTGGTAGTCTTAGCTCTCCTGAGGCTAAGGCTGATATTAGCATTGATACTCCAGATGTGAAAGTTAAAGGAGGTAAACCAAAAGCTAAACTTGGATCATGTTTCGGTAAACCCAAGAGTCCCAAAGTTGAGGGAGAGTACAAACCTGGGAAACTTGAACTTGAAAGTCCTGAAATCAGTGCTGGAGCAAGTGTCAAAACACCTGAAGCTAAGGCTGATATTGATATTGACTCACCAGATGTCAAAGTGAAAGGTGGAAAAGGAATTGGAAAGCCAAAAGTAAAGTTTGGATCTTGTTTTGGCAAACCCAAGGGACCTAAAATTGAAGCCGCCTACCAGCCTGGAGAACTGAAGTTTGCAGGACCTGAAGTACCAAAAGTGAAAGCTGAAGTTCCTTCAATAGAAGGAAAAGTGGAAGTGAAACCACCAAAACTTGATATCAGTCCATCAGTAGATGTGGAACTTCCAGAACTTCCTGAATTAAAGGGAGGAATTGGACTAGATATTGATGTTCCAAAACTTGAGCCATCACTCAAGATTGAAGGTGATATTCCAGATTTACCCAAAGTTGAAGCTGAGCTGGGAGGCAAAGCTAATATTCCAGATATAGATGTAAAAGGTAAAATTCCTAAGGCTCAAGGAATTAATGCAGAAGTGAATGTCGATGGTACATTACCTGAAATAAGCCTAGAAGGAGATATTCCAGAATTACCAAAGGCAAAAGCCAGTTTGGACTTAAGTGGACATATTCCCAGTGTCTCTGGAGATGTGAAAGGAATAAATATTTCATTGCCAGATATTCCAAGTCCAAAAGTTGAAGCAGAAATTGCAGGTGACTTACCATCAGTTGAACTCCCGAAAGCAGAGATTTCCCTTCCTTCAGGCCCCACATTACCAGCTGCTGAGATTAAGGGAGAAGTAGAGGCACCAGAGTTATCTGGAAGTTTAAAGGTGCCACAACCTGAGCTTAAAGCCAAGAAAGCCAAACTTGGTCCATGTGCTTGTCTGGGTAAATCAGGTAAAGTTAAAATGGAAGAACCATACATGTCTGCCGAAGTAGGAGGGAAAGCAAAGGGAGAATTAAAAGAATTAGATGCAGAACTGGAAATTAAAAATGAAGGATTAAAGTTGGAAGGTCCGGAAGCACACGCCTCTGCTAGTGTGGAAGCTCCAGAGTTAAAGAAAGGCAAAGTTAAAGTGTCTGGAAAACCCAAAGCATCTCTAGGGTCCTGTTTTGGTAAACCAAAGACACCATCTGTAAGTGGAGAATATGGAGCTGATGCTGGTGTAGAAGGATCTGTATCTGTTGATCCTCATGTTAAAGTTGAGGGTAAAGGTGTTGCTGGTCCCAGTGTTAGTGTTGCAGTACCTGAAGGAAAGGCTAAAGTTGATATTGATTCTCCTGATGTGAAAGTGAAAGCAGGGAAGCCCAAAGCTAAAATTGGATCTTGTTTTGGAAAACCGAAAAGTCCGGAAATGGAAGGAGAATATAAACCAGGTAAACTTGAGGGTCCAGAAGCAAGTGTTGAAGCCAGTATTAAATCACCAGAAGTAAAGGGTGACATCAGTGTTGAGTCTCCAGACATTAAAGTGAAAGGAGAAAAGCCAAAAGCTAAACTGGGATCCTGTTTTGGAAAACCAAAGAGTAACAAAATCGAAGGTGAATATAAACCAGGGAAAGTTGACATTGAAGGTCCAGAACTTGAAGGAAGTGCTAGTATAGAACCTCTTGAAGTGAGAGGTGATATAGACGTTGATGCACCTGAGATTAAAGTAAAAGCAGGTAAACCAAGTGTTGCCATAGACATTGATTCCCCTGAGGTGAAGGTGAAGGCAGGAAAACCAAAAGCTAAGTTAGGCTCCTGTTTCGGTAAACCAAAGACTCCCCAAGTTGAGGGTGAATACAAGCCAGGTAAGGTTGAAGTGGAAGGTCCAGAAGCCAGTGTTGGTGGTAGTCTTAGCTCTCCTGAAGCTAAGGCTGATATTAGCATTGATGCTCCTGATGTGAAAGTTAAAGGAGGTAAACCAAAAGCTAAACTTGGATCTTGTTTCGGTAAACCAAAAAGTCCCAAAATTGAAGGTGAATATAAACCAGGAAAAGTTGAGATTGAAGGACCGGAACTGGGAGGAAGTGCCAGTATAGAACCTCTTGAAGCCCGAGCTGATATTGGTGTAGACGTACCTGAACTTAAAGTAAGTGCAGGTGCACCAATTGCAGAAGTCAGTGGAGATTCTCCAGAGGTGAAGGTGAAAACAGGAAAACCAAAAGCTAAATTAGGATCATGTTTCGGTAAACCAAAGACTCCCAAAGTTGAAGGTGAATACAAACCAGGTAAGGTTGAACTGGAAGGTCCAGAAGCCAGTGTTGGTGGTAGTCTTAGCTCTCCTGAAGCTAAGGCTGATATTAGCATTGATACTCCAGATGTGAAAGTTAAAGGAGGTAAACAAAAAGCTAAACTTGGATCATGTTTCGGTAAACCCAAGAGTCCCAAAGTTGAGGGAGAGTACAAACCTGGGAAACTTGAACTTGAAGGTCCTGAAATCAGTGCTGGAGCAAGTGTCAAAACACCTGAAGCTAAGGCTGATATTGATATTGACTCGCCAGATGTCAGAGTGAAAGGTGGAAAAGAAATTAGAAAGCCAAAAGTAAAGTTTGGATCTTGTTTTGGCAAACCCAAGGGACCTAAAGTTGAAGCTGCCTATCAGCCTGGCGAACTGAAGTTTGCAGGACCTGAAGTACCAAAAGTGAAAGCTGAAGTTCCTTCAATAGAAGGAAAAGTGGAAGTGGAACCAACAAAACTTGACATCAGTCCATCAGTAGACGTGGAACTTCCAGAACTTCCTAAAGTAAAGGGAGGAATTGGACTAGATATTGATGTTCCAAAACTTGAGCCATCACTCAAGATTGAAGGTGATATTCCAGATTTACCCAAAGTTGAAGCTGAACTGGGATGCAAAGCTAATATTCCAGATATAGATATAAAAGGTAAAATTCCTAAAACTCGAGGAATTAATGCTGAAGTGAATGTCGATGGTGCATTACCTGAAATAAGCCTAGAAGGAGATATTCCAGAATTACCAAAGGCAAAAGCCAGTTTGGACTTAAGTGGACATATTCCCAGTGTCTCTGGAGATGTGAAAGGAATAAATATAACATTGCCGGATATTCCAAGTCCAAAAGTTGAAGCAGAAATTGCAGGTGACTTACCATCAGTTGAACTCCCGAAAGCTGAGATTTCCCTTCCTTCAGGTCCCACATTACCAGCTGCTGAGATTAAGGGAGAAGTAGAGGCACCAGAGTTATCTGGAAGTATAAAGGTGCCACAACCTGAGCTTAAAGCCAAGAAAGCCAAACTTGGTCCATGTGCCTGTCTGGGTAAATCAGGTAAAGTTAAAATGGAAGAACCATACATGTCTGCCGAAGTAGGAGGGAAACCTAAGGGAGAATTAAAAGACATAGATGCAGAGCTGGAAATTAAAAATGAAGGATTAAAGTTGGAAGGTCCAGAAGCACACGCCTCTGCTAGTGTGGAAGCTCCAGAGTTAAAGAAAGGCAAAGTTAAAGTGTCTGGAAAACCCAAAGCATCTCTAGGGTCCTGTTTTGGTAAACCAAAGACACCATCTGTAAGCGGAGAATATAGAGCTGATGCTGGTGTAGGAGGATCTGTATCAGTTGATCCTCATGTTAAAGTTGAGGGTAAAGGTGTTGCTGGTCCCAGTGTTAGTGTTGCAGTACCTGAAGGAAAGGCTAAAGTTGATATTGATTCTCCTGATGTGAAAGTGAAAGCAGGGAAGCCCAAAGCAAAAATTGGATCTTGTTTTGGAAAACCTAAAAGTCCGGAAATTGAAGGAGAATATAAATCAGGTAAACTTGAGGGTCCAGAAGCAAGTGTTGAAGCCAGTATTAAATCACCAGAAGTAAAGGGTGACATCAGTGTTGAGTCTCCAGACATTAAAGTAAAAGGAGAAAAGCCAAAAGCTAAACTGGGATCCTGTTTTGGAAAACCAAAGAGTCCCAAAATCGAAGGTGAATATAAACCAGGGAAAGTTGACATTGAAGGTCCAGAACTTGAAGGAAGTGCTAGTATAGAACGTCTTGAAGTGAGAGGTGATATAGATGTTGATGCACCTGAGATTAAAGTAAAAGCAGGTAAACCAAGTGCTGCCATAGACATTGATTCCCCTGATGTGAAGGTGAAGGCAGGAAAACCAAAAGCTAAATTAGGATCATGTTTCGGTAAACCAAAGACTCCCCAAGTTGAGGGTGAATACAAGCCAGGTAAGGTTGAAGTGGAAGGTCCAGAAGCCAGTGTTGGTGGTAGTCTTAGCTCTCCTGAAGCTAAGGCTGATATTAGCATTGATACTCCAGATGTGAAAGTTAAAGGAGGTAAACCAAAAGCTAAACTTGGATCATGTTTCGGTAAACCCAAGAGTCCCAAAGTTGAGGGAGAGTACAAACCTGGGAAACTTGAACTTGAAGGTCCTGAAATAAGTGCTGGAGCAAGTGTCAAAACACCTAAAGCTACGGCTGATATTGATATTGACTCACCAGATGTCAAAGTGAAGGGTGGAAAAAGAATTGGAAAGCCAAAAGCAAACTTAGGATCATGCTTTGGCAAACCTAAGGGACCTAAAATTGAAGCTACCTGCCAGCCTGGAGAGCTGACGTTTGAAGGTCCTGAAGTACCAAAAGTGAAAGCTGAAGTTCCTTCAATAGAAGGAGAAGTGGAAGTGAAACCGCCAAAGCTTGATATCAGTCCTTCCGTAGATGTAGAAATTCCAGAACTTCCTGAAGTAAAAGGAGGAATTGGAGTAGATATTGATGTTCCAAAACTTGAGCCATCGCTGAAGATTGAAGGTGATATTTCAGATTTACCCAAAGTTGAAGCTAAGCTGGGAGGCAAAGCTAATATTCCTGATTTACCCAAAGTTGAAGGCAATCTGGGTGTTAGAGCAGGTGTTCCAGGTCTTGATGCTACAGGTAAGATTCCTAAATCTCGAAGTATTAAGGCTGATGTTGATCTTGATGGAACAGCACCTGAAATAAGTCTTAAAGGAGACTTTCCGGATGTACCAACAACTGGAGCCAGGTTAGACGTAAGTGGATCCTTCCCAGATGTCTCTGGAGATGTGAAAGGATTGGGAATTACATTGCCAGATATTCGAAGTCCAGAGATTGAAACAGAAGTTAAAGGTGACTTACCATCCGTGGAACTTCCAAGAGCTGAGATTTCCCTTCCTTCAGGTCCTGCATTACCAGCTGCTGAGATTAAAGGAGAGGTAAAGGCACCAGAATTCTCTACAACTGTAGATATGCCAGAACCTAAGGTTAAAGCCAAGAAAGCCAAACTTGGATCTTGTTTTGGGAAATCTGCTTCTTCAGAACTGAAAGGTGAATATACACATGGCAAGGTTGAAGCTGAAGGTTCCCTTGCTGGCACTGGCATTGAGGGTGATGTAAATATTGATTCACCAGATATGAAAATTAAAGGTGGAAAACCCAAAGCTAAAATGGGATCATGCTTCGGGAAACCTAAGAGTCCGAAAGCTAAAGGAGAATATTCTCCAACCAAGGCGCAAATGGAAGGAGCAGCAGTTAGTGGTACTGCAAGTATTAGACCTCTTGAAACTAATGCTGACTTCGAAGTTGTTGCTCCAGATTTGGAAATAAAAGCAGAAAAACCAAAGGCAAATGCTAAGTTGGGATCTTGTTTCGGGAAACCCAAAGGACCTAAGGTTGAAGGTGAATATAAACCAGGCGAAGTAAAAATTGAAGGACCAGGTGTAAGTGGAAGTGCAAAAATCAGTTCGCCCGAAGCTGAGGCTGAGATAGATGTTGGTTCTCCTGACCTGAAAGTGAAAGTGGATAAACCAAAAGCTAAACTGGGCTCATGTTTCGGAAAGCCAAAAGGTCCTGAAGTGGATGGAGAGTATAAACCAGACAAAGTTGAAATAAAAAGTCCTGAGCTAGGGGCTGAGGGAAGTCTTAAATTGCCTAAAGTCGAAGGAAACGTTGACATAGGTTCGCCAGATGTTGAAATCAAAGGAGGGAAGGGAAAGTCAAAAGCTAAGCTTGGTTCTTGTTTTGGTAAACCAAAACAGCCTAAAATTGATGCTGCATATCAACCTGGAGAAATTAAACTTGAAAGTCCAGAGCTTCCAAAAGTTCAGGTTGCTATACCCACTGTAGAAGGAAATGTTGAAGTGGAACCCAGTGTGGCCATAATTAGTCCATCAATAGATGTGGATGTGCCTGCTGTTGCAGGTTTAAAGGGAGGAGTCGACATGAAGGCTGATGTTCCTAATATTAAGCCATCATTGAAAATTTCTGGTGATATTCCAGATTTGCCAAAAGTTGAAGCCGAACTTAGAGGCAAATCAAATATTCCAGACTTTGATCTTGGAGGAAAAACAACCACAGCTCCAAATATAGATGCTAATGTTGGCCTTGAAAGTTACTTACCTAAGTTTGGGCCAGAAATTGAGCTTCATGGGGATATTCCTAAACTTCCCAAAGGAGATGCCAGTTTGGAGGTAGAAGGCACTCTTCCAACTATTTCAACAAATGTTCAAGGATTTGATATAAATTCTCCTGAAGTCAAGAGCTCATCAATTCATGCAGAAATTAAAGGCGACATGCCCACTATTAAAAGTCCACAAGCAGAATTATCAGTGCCATCTGGTCCTAGATTACCATCAGGGGAAATTAAGGGAGAAATAAAATCTCCAGAGTTATCTGCCTCAGTAAATATGCCCAAGTCAGGAAAGCCAAAAATGTCGCTAGGATCTTGTTTCGGCAAGCCCAAGGGGCCTAAAAGTGGACAGTATTTAACGGAAGGTGATATTGAAGGATCATTATCCGTGGACCCACATGCCGAGGTAGAAAGCGGAGTTACTGGACCCTGTGGTAGCGTTGCACTTCCTGACAGCAAGGCTAAGATAGATGTCGACTCACCTGAATTTAAAGTAAAGACTCAAACTCCCAAAGCAAAACTAGGTTCTTGTTTCGGTAAACCCAAAGGACCTAAGGTCGACGGTGAATATAAACCTGGAAAAGTTGAACTTGAAGGACCAGAGGTGAGTGGAAGCGCCAGCCTCAGTTCCCCAGAAGTTAACGCTGAGGTTGATGTTGCTTCTCCTGACCAGAATGGAAAAGCATATAAACCAAAAGCTAAACTGGGCTCATGTTTCGGGAAGCCAAAGAGTCACGATGCAGAATATAAATACAAACCTGGGAATGTTAACTTAGAAGGTCCAGAATTCAACGTAAAATTCCCAGAAGGTAATCTACCAGAGTCACTGGATGTAGATGTGAAAGCCAAAGCTCCTGTTCCTCCATCTCGCAGAGGGAGAGTAAAACTAAACGTAGACACTCCCGAAGTCTCTGCTAGGGGTATGATACCGGCACATGATGTCAATATGGACTTGAAAACTAATGTTCCCGATGTCTTAGTAGGGACGGCAGGGCCATCTGTTGGAGGTGAATTTAACTACAAATTAAGGGATCCTAACGCAAAGCTTGCAGTCAAAGTTCCTAATGTCAAAGGCAGTGTTGACTTCCCAGGATTTGAAGGTAAAATTGGTTTGAAAACTGATGTCCCTGACATCAAAGGAAGTGCTGACATCCCAGGATTTGGAGGTAAAATTGATTTGAAAACTGATGCCCCTGACATCAAAGGCAGCGCTGACATCCCAGGATTTGGGGGTAAAGTTGATTTGAAAACTGATGTCCCTGACATCAAAGGCAGCGCTGACATCCCAGGATTTGGGGGTAGATTTGACATGAAAGCTGCTGTCCCTGACATCAAAGGCAGTGCTGACATCCCAGGATTTGGGGGTAGATTTGACATGAAAGCTGCTGTCCCTGACATCAAAGGCAGTGCTGGCATCCCAGGATTTGGAGGAAAATTTGATATGGAAACTGATATCCCTGACATCAAAGGCAGTGCTGACATCCCAGGATTTGGAGGAAAATTTGATATGGAAACTGATATCCCTGACATCAAAGGCAGTGCTGACATCCCAGGATTTGGAGGTAAAATTGGTTTGAAAGCTGATGTCCCTGACATCAAAGGCAGTGCTGACATCCCAGGATTTGGAGGAAAATTTGATATGGAAACTGATATCCCTGACATCAAAGGCAGTGCTGACATCCCAGGATTTGGAGGTAAAATTGGTTTGAAAGCTGATGTCCCTGACATCAAAGGCAGTGCTGACATCCCTGCATTTGGAGGCAAATTCGATATGAAAGCGGCTGTTCCTGACATCAAAGGCAGTGCTGACATCCCAGGATTTGGAGGTAAAATTGGTTTGAAAGCTGATGTCCCTGAAATCAAAGGCAGTGCTGACATCCCTGCATTTGGAGGCAAATTCGATATGAAAGCGGCTGTTCCTGACATCAAAGGCAGTGCTGACATCCCAGGATTTGGAGGTAAAATTGGTTTGAAAACTGATGTCCCTGACATCAGTGGTAGTGCTGACCTCCCAGGATTTGGAGGTAAAATTGGTTTGAAAACTGATGTCCCTGACATCAAAGGAAGTGCTGGCATCCCAGAATTTGGAGGCAAATTTGATATGAAAGCTGATGTCCCTGACATCAGTGGCAGTGCTGACATCCCAGGATTTGGGGGTAGATTCGACATGAAAGCTGCTGTCCCTGACATCAAAGGCAGTGCTGACATCCCAGGATTTGGAGGCAAAATCGATTTGAAAACTGATGTCCCTGACATCAAAGGCAGTGCTGACATCCCAAGATTTGGAGGCAAAATCGATTTGAAAACTGATGTCCCTGACATCAAAGGCAGTGCTGACATCCCAGGATTTGGAGGCAAAATCGATTTGAAAACTGATGTCTCTGACATTAAAGGCAGTGCTGACATCCCAGGATTTGGGGGTAGATTCGACATGAAAGCTGCTGTCCCTGACATCAAAGGCAGTGCTGACATCCCAAGATTTGGAGGCAAAATCGATTTGAAAACTGATGTCCCTGACATCAAAGGCAGTGCTGGCATCCCAGGATTTGGAGGTAAAATTGGCTTGAAAGCTGATGTCCCTGACATCAAAGGCAGTGCTGACATCCCAGGATTTGGAGGAAAATTTGATATGGAAACTGATATCCCTGACATCAAAGGCAATGCTGACATCCCAGGATTTGGAGGTAAAATTTGTTTGAAAGCTGATGTTCCTGACATCAAAGGCAGTGCTGACATCCCTGCATTTGGAGGCAAATTCGATATGAAAGCTGCTGTTCCTGACATCAAAGGCAGTGCTGACATCCCAGGATTTGGAGGTAAAATTGGTTTGAAAACTGATGTCCCTGACATCAAAGGCAGTGCTGGCATCCCAGGATTTGGAGGCAAATTCGATATGAAAGCTGATGTCCCTGACATCAGTGGTAGTGCTGACCTCCCAGGATTTGGAGGTAAAATTGGTTTGAAAACTGATGTCCCTGAAATCAAAGGCAGTGCTGACATCCCTGGATTTGGAGGCAAATTTGATATGAAAGCTGCTGTGCCTGACATCAAAGGCACTGCTGACATCCCAGGATTTGGAGGTAAAATTGGTTTTAAAACTGATGTCCCTGATATCAAAGGCAGTGCTGACATCCCTGGATTTGGAGGCAAATTCGATATGAACGCTGCTGTCCCTGACATCAGTGGCAGTGCTGACATCCCTGGATTTGAAGGCAAATTAGATTTGAAAACTGATGTCCCTGACATAAAAGGCAGTGCTGACATCCCAGGATTTGGAGGTAAAATCGGTTTGAAAACAGATGTCCCTGACATCAAAGGCAGTGCTGACTTCCCTGGATTTGGAGGGAAATTCGATATGAAAGCTGCTGTGCCTGACATCAAAGGCAGTGCTGACGTCCCAGGATTAGGAGGTAAAATCGATATGAAAGCTGCTGTGCCTGACATCAAAAGCAATGCTGAGATCCCAGGATTTGGAGGTAAAATTGATTTGAAAACTGATGTCCCTGACATCAAATGCAGTGCTGACATCCCAGGATTTGGAGGTAAAATCGGTTTGAAAACAGATGTCTCAGACATCAAAGGCAGTGCTGACGTCCCTGGATTTGGAGGCAAATTCGATATGAAAGCTGCTGTCCCTGACATTAGAGGCAGTGCTGACATCCCTGCATTTGGAGGCAAATTCGATATGAAAGCTGCTGTGCCTGACATCAAAGGCATTGCTGACATCCCAGGATTTGGAGGCAAATTCGATATGAAAGCTGATGTCCCTGACATAAGTGGTAGTGCTGACATCCCTGGATTAGGAGGTAAAATCGGTTTGAAAACAGATGTCCCTGACATCAAAGGCAGTGCTGACATCCCTGGATTTGGAGGTAAAATCGGTTTGAAAACAGATGTCCCTGACATCAAAGGCAGTGCTGACATCCCAGGATTTGGAGGTAAAATTGGTTTGAAAACTGATGTCCCTGACATCAAAGGCAGTGCTGACATCCCAGGATTTGGAGGTAAAATCGGTTTGAAAACAGATGTCCCTGACATCAAAGGCAGTGCTGACATCCCTGGATTTGGAGGCAAATTCGATATGAAAGCTGCAGTGCCTGACATCAAAGGCAGTGCTGACATCCCCGGATTTGGAGGTAAAATTGGTTTGATAACTGATGTCCCTGACTTGAAAGGCAGTGCTGACATCCCTAGATTTGGAGGCAAATTCGATATGAAAGCCGCTGTCCCTGACATCAGTGGCAGTGCTGACATCCCTGGATTAGGAGGTAAAATTGATTTGAAAACTGATGTCCCTGACATCAAAGGCAGTGCTGACATCCCAGGATTTGGAGGTAAAATCGGTTTGAAAACAGATGTATCAGACATCAAACGCAGTGCTGACGTCCCTGGATTTGGAGGCAAATTCGATATGAAAGCTGCTGTCCCTGACATTAGAGGCAGTGCTGACATCCCTGCATTTGGAGGCAAATTCGATATGAAAGCTGCTGTGCCTGACATCAAAGGCATTGCTGACATCCCAGGATTTGGAGGCAAATTCGATATGAAAGCTGATGTCCCTGACATAAGTGGTAGTGCTGACATCCCTGGATTAGGAGGTAAAATCGGTTTGAAAACAGATGTCCCTGACATCAAAGGCAGTGCTGACATCCCTGGATTTGGAGGTAAAATCGGTTTGAAAACAGATGTCCCTGACATCAAAGGCAGTGCTGACATCCCAGGATTTGGAGGTAAAATTGGTTTGAAAACTGATGTCCCTGACATCAAAGGCAGTGCTGACATCCCAGGATTTGGAGGTAAAATCGGTTTGAAAACAGATGTCCCTGACATCAAAGGCAGTGCTGACATCCCTGGATTTGGAGGCAAATTCGATATGAAAGCTGCAGTGCCTGACATCAAAGGCAGTGCTGACATCCCCGGATTTGGAGGTAAAATTGGTTTGATAACTGATGTCCCTGACTTGAAAGGCAGTGCTGACATCCCTAGATTTGGAGGCAAATTCGATATGAAAGCCGCTGTCCCTGACATCAGTGGCAGTGCTGACATCCCTGGATTAGGAGGTAAAATTGATTTGAAAACTGATGTCCCTGACATCAAAGGCAGTGCTGACATCCCAGGATTTGGAGGTAAAATCGGTTTGAAAACAGATGTATCAGACATCAAACGCAGTGCTGACGTCCCTGGATTTGGAGGCAAATTCGATATGAAAGCTGCTGTGCCTGACATCAAAGGCACTGGTGACATCCCAGGTTTTGGAGGTAAAATTGGTTTGAAAACTGATGTCCCTGATATCAAAGGCAGTGCTGACATCCCTGGATTTGGAGGCAAATTCGATATGAAAGCTGATGTCCCTGACATCAGTGGCAGTGCTGACATCCCTGGATTAGGAGGTAAAATTGGTTTGAAAACTGATGTCCCTGACATCAGTGGCAGTGCTGACATCCCTGGATTAGGAGGCAAATTCGATATGAAAGCTGATGTGCCTGACATCAAAGGCAATGCTGAGATCCCAGGATTTGGAGGTAAAATTGATTTGAAAACTGATGTCCCTGATATCAAAGGCAGTGCTGACATCCCTGGATTTGGAGGCAAATTCGATATGAAAGCTGATGTCCCTGACATCAGTGGCAGTGCTGACATCCCTGGATTAGGAGGTAAAATTGGTTTAAAAACAGATGTCCCTGACATCAAAGGCAATGCTGACATCCCTGGATTTGGAGGCAAATTCGATATGAAAGCTGCTGTGCCTGACATCAAAGGCACTGGTGACATCCCAGGTTTTGGAGGTAAAATTGGTTTGAAAACTGATGTCCCTGATATCAAAGGCAGTGCTGACATCCCTGGATTTGGAGGCAAATTCGATATGAAAGCTGCTGTGCCTGACATCAAAGGCATTGCTGACATCCCAGGATTTGGAGGCAAATTTGATGTGAAAGCTGATGTCCCTGACATAAGTGGTAGTGCTGACATCCCTGGATTAGGAGGTAAAATTGGTTTAAAAACAGATGTCCCTGACATCAAAGGCAATGCTGACATCCCTGGATTTGGAGGCAAATTCGATATGAAAGCTGCTGTGCCTGACATCAAAGGCACTGGTGACATCCCAGGTTTTGGAGGTAAAATTGGTTTGAAAACTGATGTCCCTGATATCAAAGGCAGTGCTGACATCCCTGGATTTGGAGGCAAATTCGATATGAAAGCTGATGTCCCTGACATCAGTGGCAGTGCTGACATCCCTGGATTAGGAGGTAAAATTGGTTTGAAAACTGATGTCCCTGACATCAGAGGCAGTGCTGACATCCCTGCATTTGGAGGCAAATTCGATATGAAAGCTGATGTCCCTGACATCAGTGGCAGTGCTGACATCCCTGGATTAGGAGGAAAAATTGGTTTGAAAACTGATGTCCCTGACATCAAAGGCAGTGCTGACCTCCCAGGATTTGGAGGAAAAATTGGTTTGAAAACTGATGTCCCTGACATCAGTGGCAGTGCTGACATCCCTGCATTTGGAGGCAAATTCGATATGAAAGCTGCTGTGCCTGACATCAAAGGCAGTGCTGACATCCCAGGATTTGGAGGTAAAATTGATTTGAAAACCGATGTCTCTGACATCAAAGGCAGTGCTGACCTCCCAGGATTTGGAGGAAAAATTGGTTTGAAAACTGATGTCCCTGACATCAAAGGCAGTGCTGACCTCCCAGGATTTGGAGGAAAAATTGATTTGAAAACTGATGTCCCTGACATCAAAGGCAGTGCTGACCTCCCAGGATTTGGAGGAAAAATTGGTTTGAAAACTGATGTCCCTGACATCAAAGGCAGTGCTGCCATCCCAGGATTTGGAGGTAAAATCGGTTTGAAAACAGATGTCCCTGACATCAGTGGTAGCGCTGACATCCCTAGATTTGGAGGCAAATTCGATATGAAAGCTGCAGTGCCTGACATCAAAGGCAGTGCTGACATCCCTGGATTTGGAGGTAAATTCGATATGAAAGCTGCTGTCCCTGACATCAAAGGAAGTGCTGACATCCCTGGATTTGGAGGTAAATTCGATTTGAAAGCTGCTGTCCCTGACATCAGTGGCGATGCTGACATCCCCGGATTTGGAGGCAAATTAGATTTGAAAACTGATGTCCCTGACATCAGTGGCAGTGCTGACATCCCAGGGTTTGGAGGTAAAATTGACTTGAAAGCTGCTGTCCCTGACATCAGTGGCAGTGCTGACATCCCCGGATTTGGAGGAAAATTCGATTTGAAAGGTGATGTCCCTGACATCAAAGGCAGTGCTGACATCCCAGGATTTGGAGGTAAAATTGGTTTGAAAGATGATGTCCCTGACATTAGGGGCAGTGTTGACATCCCAGAATTTGGAGGCAAATATGATATGAAAACTGATGTCCCTGACATCAAAGGCAGTGCTGACATCCCAGGATTTGGAGGCAAATTCGATTTGAAAGGTGATATCCCTGACATCAAAGGCAGTGCTGGTATCCGAGGATTTGGAGGTAAAATTGGTTTGAAAGCTGATGTCCCTGACATCAAAGGCAGTGCTGACATCCCTGTATTTGGAGGCAAATTCGATTTGAAAGCTGCTGTCCCTGACATCAAAGGCAGTGCTGACATCCCAGGATTTGGAGGAAAAATTGGATTGAAAACTGATGTCCCTGACATCAAAGGCAGTTCTGACATCCCAGAAATTGGAGGTGAAATTGGATTGAAAGCTGATGTCCCTGACATCAAAGGCAGTGCTGATATCCCAGGATTTGGAGGAAAAATTGGTTTGAAAACTGATGTCCCTGACATCAAAGGACGTGCTGACCTCCCAGGATTTGGAGGTAAAATTGGTTTGAAAACTGATGTCCCTGACATCAAAGGCAGTGCCGACATCCCTGGATTTGGAGGAAAAATTGGATTGAAAGGTGATGTCCCTGACATCAAAGGCAGTACTGACATCCCTGTATTTGGAGGAAAAATTGGTTTGAAAACTGATGTAACTGACATCAGTGGCAGTGCTGACATCCCAAGATTTGAAGGTAAAATTGATTTGAAAACTGATGTCCCTGGCATCAAAGGCAGTGCTGACATCCCTGGATTTGGAGGTAAAATTTATTTGAAAACTGATATCCCTGACGTCGATGGCCGTGCTGATATCCCAGGATTTGGAAGTAAAGTTGGCTTAACATCTGATGCCCCTGACATCAAAGGCAGTGTTGACATCCCTGGATTTGGAGGCAAAATTGGTTTGAAAACTGATGTCCATGACATCAAAGGCAGTGCTGACAGCCCTGGATTTGGAGGCAAAATCGGTTTGAAAACTGATGTCCCTGACATCAAAGGCAGTGTTGGTGCTCCAAGACTTGTGGGCAAGACTGACTCACAATGCGAGGATCCAGAAGCGAGAAATTGGGCTGGTGTTCCAGTGTTCAGGGGAATATTCCCACTTGATGACAAAGGTAACTTGACAGCTGAGTCTCCGGAAATCCCCAGCAGTATAGCTCTACCTGAAGCTCGAGGCTCATTTGCTTTGAAATCTGATGTTTTGAAGCCTAGCAGTGAGGTTCCTGACTTCGAGAGCACGGATGGTTTGGAAACTGATGCTCCTATCATCAAGGGTAGTATCGGTATTCCAGGATTTGGAATCAAGAGTGAAATCAGATCCGGCATTCCTGTTCTGAAAGGTAGGGCAGATGCTGCTGCGTCGTTGGGAAAAGTTGAAGGGAGAGCAGATGTGTCAGGTTTAACCAGTATTGGTGCTGACGAGGGCGGAGAAGGTGTTCAGGAATCATTGGAGACTGCGGAACTGAAAAGTAAAATACCATCTTTGAGTATCAAATCTCGACTACCTGAGCCCAGCGTCCCAGTGTCAATTGAGGCTAATATTCCAGAGACGAAACTTGGCTCAGAAATAGATTCTGTCAAGCATGAACAAAGCTTCAGCTTACCTGAAGTCAGCCTGAGTGTTGGAGGGCATGGATCCAGGAAGAAAAGAAGAAGTGGTAAGAAGAGAGACTTACCAGAAGTTAAGACTGACGAAATCCCTGAGGAGAAATCATCTGAGACTCTCAGGAAATCTGATGCTGGAACATCTGAACTTATTGCTCATGCCAAGCTTGGATCCATTGTACCTGATATTTCAGCCCACGAAGAAAATATTGAAGTTGGGGATAATTTGCCAGATGTAACAGTTAAAAGCAAAATACCTATATTCACAGGCGTAGCAAAGACAGAGGATGTGCCAAGTAAAGATTGGGTCCAGCTGAGAGGCCCTGTAGTTAGCGCTAGTGGCATTCCCGTGCTGAGCGGACGTGTATCAGAAACTGATACAGTTGCCACTTCTCTTCCGGAAAGATCGCAGGGAGTAGGGGCCTTACAGGGGAACATTCCAACCATGACAGTCCAGTCTGGTGCAGCTCCCATTGGATGGGTACTGCCACAGCCTACCACACACACTACCCCACCTCCCATTGGATGGGTGCTACCACAACCAACTTCACAAACTACCATTAGTCAGAGAGTTGTAGTTAGAGAAGGTCAGCCTTATAGTCAAGAAATCTTATTACCACATTCACAGGTTGTTAGTGAGTTGGCGCCAGGTCAAGTAGATTTTTCACACACTCTTGTATCTGACGGGTCAGGTCCTCGTAGATTTAGTAAAGAGTACACAATATCTACAGAAGAAGAGAGAGCCCAGGATGTCGAATCTTATATTAAGGGTAAATTGGGTCCATTTAAAATTACTCCCGAGAGAACAGTGGCCCTAAGTAAGAGGGAAGTGCTTGAAGGTGATGGTGAAGCCGTTCCCAGCCGGTCTGGAGAAGAGTGGAGCCATCACCAGAGCTCACATCCCCCAGGCGAGTGGGTCGTCGGCCCTTATTCTTACCAAGTCAAAATGGAGACAGATTCAGAAGGCAAAATATTAACAACACCTGAGATTACAGACATACAGAATAGATTAAACATGGGGGGAGACGTAGATTCAAAGGGAGGTAAACAGTCTCGTACTGTGTTTGTAACTGAAGATGCTGGCGGCAGGGTTGTGGTTCACAGAAGAATTGAGTCTTCAGAAACCATGATACCAGAGAGTGAGAGCCACACACTGGTGACTCAGGCATCCCCATCAACCATAACGTCAACCATGACTACCACTGAATGGCCACCAAAGACCATCACAACACACAGAACCGTTCGGGTTAGAAAAATTAGGAAAGTAAAAGTTGGCGATGGTCCAGAAGAAACGGTTGTTGAAACTGAATACGAGACCACCCCAGGCCAGGAAGACGATTTTAGAATAGAAGGTTTTGATGATAGTGGGGCTCTGCGCATCACATCGGGGACTGGGCAAGATCTGTCACACCTGCCACCTGAACTTAGAGAAACCTCTCTACTCCGCTTTGGTCTTGATCAAAGGGAGACACCTGGGGAAACACACCAAACCTTGCAAACAACTGTGAGACCAGGGGAAACACACCAGACCGTGCAAACAACTGTGAGACACATACCACCCGAAGAGTTTGGTGAACATTTTCCTGAGGGATTTGATGAAAATATCCATAAAATTATGGGGGCGACGACGACTACGACAACGGTGCGAAAAGTCAAGGTAATAAAACGAGACGAGAGTGGAAATATAATCGAATACGAAGACGACAGCGGGGACCTGAGTATGATACCCTCTGATCTGACCTCCGGCGGTGTCACCACCACCACTAGCACCACCAGTGATGGAGGAACTACCACCACCACAACCACGAGAGTCATAAGACGAGTGATTTCAGGCGACCTGACGGAAGACGAGCTGAGAGAGGCTCTTGCCGTCAGGGAGTGTGAGGGCGGAATAGTCGACGAAGGAGACGATGCTTCCGCCTCTCATAGAACACAGTGAGTCACTCGGAATGAAACGAAAACATGTATATTTATGCTGTGTATTTGCTTGAAAAAACGTGCTATATGTATATACATATATATACCGTCATGTAAGCTACATCAGCTTATGTCCTTGTGTGAACACCAGTTGACTGTCGTTTGTGTTATATCTCGCTTTAAAAAAAACATGGTTCCTACACCTTGGAGGTGCAGGATAAGTGCCTTAAATGTTGTGCTCAAAGACATACAGAGAAACTATATGCACAACGACAGTTCTATGCCTTATATTATGCTATGCATGAGAACAGCGTGCTCTGATCCCTCTATATCAAGACAAGACTCCACACACATCCCATCCCTACCACGCCGCCGAGAAGGGTAAGTGCCATATCACACTACAACCATTCCCAGCTTCACTAACCTTTAGCAAAGCTACTACCTTTCTGTTTAAACCCATCATTAATAATACAGCATGAATCTGATTGCTGTGCTGTGATACGGGTGTTGTTGCCTGCGACATGTGCAGTTCATACGTATATATATATATATATATATATATATATATATATATATATATATATATATATATATATATATATATATATATATATATATATATATATATATATCGTGCCGAATAGGCAGAACTTGCGATCTTGGCTTAAATAGCAACGATCATCTTGCCATATAGGACAAGTGAAAATTTGTATATGCAATAATTTCGCCAAAACCATTCTGAACCTAACGAAAAAAATATATTTGATTGTGTTTGTTTAGTACTAAATTACTGTAAACGAATTTAAAATATATTTAGTTGGGTTAGGCTAAAATAAATTGTTCTTGTTATAATAGGGTTAGGTAAGTTTTCTAAGATTCTTTTGGTGCAAAATTAAAATTTTTTACATTAACATTAATGAAAAAATATATCTTTAAACGTATAAGAGAAAATTTCAGAAAGGACTTAATTTTAAATGAGTTCTTGCTAATTGACCAGTTTTACATATTCGGCACGACATTATATATATATATATATATATATATATATATATATATATATATATATATATATATATATATATATATATATATATATATATATATATATATATATATATATATAAAATATATATAAAACTCATTAAAGATAAGGAAGTGTTCCGCTAATTGTGTTTTATTTATACCATTTAGACTACTAAAGGAAGACACTAAATGCATTTTTATACTTGCAAAACTCTTCAGTGTTTAGGTTTGGGTTGTTGCGTGTTCACAGAAGAGGTATCCCTGTATCCCATAAAACCAGCATCCCTGTCTTCTCATATATTTGTATGAACTTTGCCCTGGGCTTAGCTCACCACATTTGAAAATCTCAAGACGATCGATCCTGGTGTTCCAGAGTTGTGATCCCTCAGTTTAGCTGCCTTGATGCCGGTGACGGGGCTGGTCATTCAAGGAACTGCACTTTGCTCCTTGAATCGGAGCTGAATGCCTCCTAGGCGCTGTATGATTCCTACAGGTTTAGCGCTTCCCGTGACTAAAATGAAAAAAGTAAATAAACAAAATGTCACCCATTTAAAAGGCCGCCTTGTGAGGGCATAATAACATGAAGCAGTTACCACAGACAGTGTTCAGAGAGGATTCAACAAGTGAGGCAGAATTTTATACATGTAATACCTTCATAGTTATATATCTGACGTATCTTACCTGGTGGGTGTTCCGGGGGTCAACGCCCCTCGCTACGCAGTCCATGACCAGTCCTTACGCAGACGTTAGTTATAACATTTTGGTATTACATGATAACTCTCCAGGTAGACTCAAGATAACTAATTGAACTTAAGATAATCTCGCCTCAGAATTATCCTTACAATACGGAAATATTGGAATGAAATGTACCCACTTGGCTCCATTCTTGTTCTGTTATTGATAGTAGAGTCAGTCCTCAGAGGAGAGTCAGTCCTCAGAGGAGAGTCACCTGGCACTTCCACCTTTACAAAACTTTACTTTTTGCCTTATGGGTCCTGTTAATAAAAATATTTGTATAATGTTTAATATTAATAAATTTGTGCAAGACAGATATACAATACCGACAAGATGAAAGTTAAGACACTTGTGCAACATCTGGATAACTTTATCGTAGACGTTTGGCCATCCAGTGGCTTTATCAGTACAGATTCTTGAACATAATAAGAAGACTGGATGGCGAAACGTCAACAATGAAGATAACCAGATGTTGCACATGTGTCTTAGCTTTCATTAATAACACTCATAAACAACAAGATTGCCTGAATTTGTGTATGTATGTATATATATATAATATATATATATATATATATATATATATATATATATATATATTATATATATATATATATATATATATATATATATATATTATATATATTAGTTAGACAGATCGATATAGTGTTACGAGAAAGAAAGATGAATATGGTTCTGTTTCTGCCATATTTAAATACAAGACAGTAAGTGTCGGGGGGTCAGGGACTATTGATAATTCCTCTTATGGCTGGAGGGAGGCTGTTGAACAGTCTTGGTCCCCTGACAGTTATAGTAGTAGTCAGAAAGTAAAGTGTGAGCACGGTCATGGTTGTCACTGAACACAAACATAGTTGTCACTAAGTAAGATGTGAACACGGTAGAAATAAATCTCGTTGTTGCTGCAATGAAAAAAAAATATCTTATGGATCACGTTGGAAACAGAAAGACAGCCTTCACTAGGTCACCTTCCCCCCTCCCTCCCCCCCATTCCAATTCATCCCTGGCCTTTCCCCTCCACTCGTATCACTCCCCCTCTCCCCCTCTTCCTCCTCCTCCATCACCCCTATCCCTCCCCTCCTCTTACCCAGTTGCTTGAGCTGGACTGAAGTAAAGTCTTGTGTTTTTATCAAAGCGGACGTGTGGTGGTGGTCTTAATGTGACGTACAGTGTGGTGGTGGTGGTCTTAATGTGACGTACAGTGTGGTGGTGGTGGTCTTAATGTGACGTACAGTGTGGTGGTGGTCTTAATGTGACGTACAGTGTGGTGGTGGTCTTAATGTGACGTACAATGTGGTGGTGGTCTTAATGTGACGTACAGTGTGGTGGTGGTCTTAATGTGACGTACAGTGTGGTGGTGGTCTTAATGTGACGTACAGTGTGGTGGTGGTGGTCTTAATGTGACGTACAGTGTGGTGGTGGTCTTAATGTGACGTATAGTGTGGTGGTGGTCTTAATGTGACGTACAGTGTGGTGGTGGTCTTAATGTGACGTACAGTGTGGTGGTGGTCTTAATGTGACGTACAGTGTGGTGGTGGTCTTAATGTGACGTACAGTGTGGTGGTGGTCTTAATGTGACGTACAGTGTGGTGGTGGTGGTCTTAATGTGACGTACAGTGTGGTGGTGGTCTTAATGTGACGTATAGTGTGGTGGTGGTCTTAATGTGACGTACAGTGTGGTGGTGGTCTTAATGTGACGTACAGTGTGGTGGTGGTCTTAATGTGACGTACAGTGTGGTGGTGGTCTTAATGTGACGTACAGTGTGGTGGTGGTCTTAATGTGACGTACAGTGTGGTGGTGGTGGTCTTAATGTGACGTACAGTGTGGTGGTGGTCTTAATGTGACGTATAGTGTGGTGGTGGTCTTAATGTGACGTACAGTGTGGTGGTGGTCTTAATGTGACGTACAGTGTGGTGGTGGTCTTAATGTGACGTACAGTGTGGTGGTGGTCTTAATGTGACGTACAGTGTGGTGGTGGTCTTAATGTGACGTACAGTGTGGTGGTGGTCTTAATGTGACGTACAGTGTGGTGGTGGTGGTCTTAATGTGACGTACAGTGTGGTGGTGGTCTTAATGTGACGTATAGTGTGGTGGTGGTCTTAATGTGACGTACAGTGTGGTGGTGGTCTTAATGTGACGTATAGTGTGGTGGTGGTCTTAATGTGACGTACAGTGTGGTGGTGGTCTTAATGTGACGTACAGTGTGGTGGTGGTCTTAATGTGACGTACAGTGTGGTGGTGGTCTTAATGTGACGTACAGTGTGGTGGTGGTCTTAATGTGACGTACAGTGTGGTGGTGGTCTTAATGTGACGTACAGTGTGGTGGTGGTCTTAATGTGACGTACGGTGTGGTGGTGGTCTTAATGTGACGTACGGTGTGGTGGTGGTCTTAATGTGACGTACGGTGTGGTGGTGGTCTTAATGTGACGTACGGTGTGGTGGTGGTCTTAATGTGACGTACAGTGTGGTGGTGGTCTTAATGTGACGTACAGTGTGGTGGTGGTCTTAATGTGACGTACAGTGTGGTGGTGGTCTTAATGTGACGTACAGTGTGGTGGTGGTCTTAATGTGACGTACGGTGTGGTGGTGGTCTTAATGTGACGTACGGTGTGGTGGTGGTCTTAATGTGACGTACAGTGTGGTGGTGGTCTTAATGTGACGTACAGTGTGGTGGTGGTCTTAATGTGACGTACAGTGTGGTGGTGGTCTTAATGTGACGTACAGTGTGGTGGTGGTCTTAATGTGACGTACAGTGTGGTGGTGGTCTTAATGTGACGTACAGTGTGAGGTACACCATGAACCACGACACTACAGCTACGCCGTACAGTGTCAAGAACAACATACATCACAACATCAACACACAGTGTCAAGAACAACATACATCACAACATCAACACACAGTGTCAAGAACAACATACATCACAACATCAACACACAGTGTCAAGTACAACATACATCACAACATCAACACACAGTGTCAAGAACAACATACATCACAACATCAACACACAGTGTCAAGTACAACATACATCACAACATCAACACACAGTGTCAAGTACAACATACATCACAACATCAACACACAGTGTCAAGTACAACATACATCACAACATCAACACACAGTGTCAAGAACAACATACATCACAACATCAACACACAGTGTCAAGAACAACATACATCACAACATCAACACACAGTGTCAAGTACAACATACATCACAACATCAACACACAGTGTCAAGAAC